ACTAGATTTACTTTCCCACCAGAAAACATGCTGAAGTTGAAAATCAAAGAATTATTTCGACAACTTATACTTAATAGTGTATACTGATTACAGACATAAAAACATTAAAAGAATATTTTTAAAAAAACACACGCATYACGTGAAAATCAATACATTCATCACTCCACTCACTCGCTCAGTATCTAAAATGCCATTTAGATTAAATCACTGACTCAGTTAGTCAGATATTATATAGTCGGTGGGCCGTAGATCAAACTGTACAATACGTCCTACCTGTTTGTTTTTATCGCGGACCATGAACTTAGATTCAACTTTTTAATTCATGTATTCATTTTTTATGTCACAGACATTTCAATTTTCAAACAACGTATCCGTGGTTTTGATAAAATCCTCGTGGCCCTCCATTATTTTTGATAACAATGTCTGAGTGTTGATAACAATTAAGGTTTGAAATTTCATTTTTATTTTTTCGAGCAAACGTCAAACCTAATCKKCGAGAAAAGTGGCAATTTGTTAACTATTAGCATTTTGCATTCGTTGTCGATTAATAGATCTWTAAGATCAAAAGATACCTATTACATTCGACATATTTTATCTTTCAAAAAATATTTATTATTATTGTTAATTCAYTGTTTCATCAATCACACTGTGATACAAAAAGTAAGTTTTAAAATTAATAATAGTTTTGATAAAATAATTGTATGTGTGTAACTAATAGTATTTAATCTTTAYCCGTTAGACTTAAAATGAAGAGCAAATCTTCTGTAAAAACCAGCTCAGAACAACGATTTGTTTTCAAATCAAGGAAAGCTGAACGCAAAGCCATGCGCCAAATGAAAAAACAGAADAAGGGACACTTGCAACAAATGATAACTAAAGAACTTACTGTACAAAAGGTAAACGTCAAAAAAAAATTGCCAAAAACTTCAAACACAACTGACTGGCGAGTATTAGATAGAAATAAAGAAAAAATCGAAGAAATTAAATTACAAAAACAATTTGAGAAAAGTCGTCGTGASCAAATGAAACATGCTAATGAAGATGAAGATAAAGAGATCAAAAGATTGGCCAAACATTTAAAATTAGATAAGAGGAAAACAGTTGGAAAATCTTTTATTGATGATGGACTTGATTGTATCCTTTTTTAATTATAAAATATTATGTAAGTACCTATCTATTTTTAAGTTTTTAGTTTTCTTAAATAAAATAAACCTTAGTAACTAATATCTAGACTTGTTGGATGTGTGTGATCCTGAGACACGTAAGAATTGTTCGTCTTTAAAAGAAAGTTTGATGGATATTGATTCAAATTTTGATGATGATTATAATACTGTTAATTCTATAAATAATAATAATAAAAAGAAAGAGCCAAAAATTAAATCCCAAAAAAAAGTAACGTTTGATTGTTCTGATAACTCATCTAATGAAGAAACTTTTAATTATGAGCATGACAATGAAAATGCATCTGATGACGATATTTTGGATGATGAATTTGAAGATGGAAGTTTATCTGGTGAAGAAACTCTTGATGAAGATTATGATGATGAAAGTATATCTAACGAAAAAAATTTTGGTAATGAMGATACATTTGATTACAACCATGAAGAAGAATTTGATTATGATGATGAAGAAGAAGAAGAATTTTCTGACAGTAAACCTGATGAATATGAAGTCTTAGTAAAATTAGATAATAATGATGGTACAAAAACAATAAGTACAAAAGAAGATATTTATGGTAGAATAAAGAAATCTGATGGTACTATAGTGGCAAGTTATATAAATTAAATATTCCCTATTGACAACATTGAATTTTATTTATCCATGTGTTTTGATAATAGGAACATTCAATAGCTTATGTACCTCCACATTTAAGRAAAAAACAAAATGAAGAATCTGAAGAACTTAAACGTCTCAGGCAACAAGTTAAAGGGCTGTTAAATAGATTAGCAGAAACTAATATGCATAGCATTAGTCGACAGGTACAATACAGGAATTTTAACTAATTTTAACAATAATAGTTATTTTAATTATTTACAG